GTATTATTTCTCCATATGATAATAAAATCTTCATTATCTACAAAATTATATTGTTCTTGATGGAATTTTGGTGTGACCCAAATTTCTTTATTGAAGTGTTTGAAGTATTGAAGAATTGTAATTGAAGTATACGTCAAGGAGAATTCAACTTTGAAATATTATTGGAGTCCAATGTCAAGTTGAAGTTTTATTTTGAAAGCCCATTGAGAGTTGAAAATTGGTATTGGATTTAAAGAAAAGTTTGGGGCGCCCAGATGTGGCACTGCGCCGCCTACCTGTTCTTTTCCCTTTTCCGCATTTTCTATTCCTATTTCGTTTTGGACTCGATTTTTTGGCTTCCTACTTCATCAACAACTTTACGAAGAGGGTTTGGATGTCCCCTACATGTTTCCTATAAATATTAGGCTCTTCTATACAATTTTATAGTGTAAGAAAATAGATTACTAGAATTTTAGAATCCATTATTATTTTTTCTCTTCTCCATTATTTTTGAGTCAATAAAATCTCTTAATTCATCTGTCATATTTCTCGTCTTTATTATTCTTTTATTTGATCAAATACTTTATAATTGTGTCATATAACTTCAAAATCTCAATCCGGTGGTTGGTTTCACAACAAGTGGTATCATAGTCTAAGTTCAGCAGTTCCGCAGTTCCGCAAGAGCGCATGGTTGATTTGTTCGAAGTTTTTGTTCGTGATAGCTACCATGAAGTATGACATTTCACTTTTGGATCGGAGTACTAGATTTTCGCAATGACAGGTTAAGATGCTTGCAGTACTCGCACAGCAGGATTTGGATAATGCGTTGCTGGGAATTGACAAGATGCCCGCAACTTTGACCGAGGAGGAGAAATTACGGAAGGATAAAAAGATAGTTTCTCACATTTTCATCTATCAAATACTATTTTTCAGGACGTTTTGAATGAGAATTCAGCATCTACTTTATGGTTGAAGTTGGAACAATTGTACATGACTAAAAGTCTGGAAAGCAAGTTGAACCTCAAACAGCATTTATACTCTCATCGAATGGCAGAAGGATGATCACTGGAATCACCTGGATGTTTTGAAGGAGATCGTCGCTAATTTGGAAACTTTGGAAGTAGAGTATGATGAAGAAGATTTGGTCTTGATCCTATTGTGTTCGTTTCCCGCTTCGTTTATTCATTTAGAGACACGGTCTTATATAGTCGTGATACTCTCACCATAGAAGAAGTGTATGATACTTTGTATTCAAAAGAGAAGATGAAGCATTTTGGTTTCTAAGACCAAAGATGGAGAAAGCCTAGTTGCTCATGGTGGTTTTGGAAGGGGCATATCAAAATCTAAGTTCAGTAATCAGATTTGTAACTACTGCAAGAAGAATGTGCACTTGGAGAAGGTTGCTACAAATTACAGAATAAGAAATGATGGCTGTAAGTAGATATTCGGATAGTTCAAGCGAAGCAGACTTCATGGAGAATGTTGTAAGTGATGGAGATCTCTTAACTATTTTAACATTGAGTATAAATTGGAAGATGATTGGATTCTTGATTCAGCGTGTGTGCTTCAAATGTGTCCTAATAAGGACTTGTTTACTACATATGAAACTATTTCCAAAGGTGTCGTAGTTATAGGAAACAATGCATCTTGTCTGGTTACTGGAATTGGTACAGTCAAATTGAAGCTTTTGGATGGGACAATTAGAATATTTGGCCAGGTTCGACATATTCCAAATTTGAAGAAGAATATCTTCTCGTTGTCTCTCCTTGATTTAAAGAGCTATGAGTTTTTTGGTGGAGGTGGAGTTTTGAAGGTTTGTCCTGGTTGCATTGGAGGGACGGAAAATGTCTTAGTTATACATCTGCAGGGTTGCACAGAATCTAGAAGAGTCAATCAGCACGGTTCAGTACCGTGGTGAACGTTCAGTTTAGTACAATACCTTTAGGAGCTCGTAAAAAGGTCGGATTTGAATAATACTGTTCATTGGAGTTTATAAGATATGCATAATGTTGCTTTGTCACCATCACCTGCGGTGTCATTGAATTCAATTGTTAAGGATGGATCCAATGGAAAAGGCTATGTGAATGCTGATTTTGTTAAGCATGCTTTAAGTGAAGTAGAATGCGTACAATCCAACAATGGGCCTTTTTTAAAGGCATTTTTGGTTTGATTCTGTTTTGGGGTGTGTTACAATCCAATTTGGTAAATTATAAAATCATTATGATTTTTTGGGAATTTGAGATAATTCTACAAGAGTAGTGCTTGAATTCAATGGAAGATGTAGAGTATTGTGTTTTGTTGAAAAAATTAATTTTCTGATTATTGTTGAAGAAGTCAATTCATTTCTTTGTGGAATTCGTGTCAAGGTAGAGAATGTTTGAATTTGGGTGTGACCAGAATTCCTTTGTTGAAGTGTTTGAAGTATTGAAAAATTCTAATTGAAGTACTTGTCAAGGAGAATTCAAGTTTAGAATGTTACTGGAATCCTATGTCAAGTTGAAATTTGATTTTGGAAGTTCATGGAGAAAACAATTTGAGAAAAAATTTGGCCAGAACACTCGGTGTCGCGGCGCCGGGCATGGACCGGCGCCACGGCGCCCACCTATTCTATTATGTTCCATTTTGTGCGTTTTCTTCTCCTACTTCGTTTTGGACCCTTTTTCTAGCATCCTACTTCATCAACAACTCACTCTCCTTGATTTAAAGAGCTATGATTTTTTTGGTGGAGGTGGAGTTTTGAAGGTTTGTCCTGGTTGTATTGGAGGGACGAAAAATGTCTTAGTTATACATCTGCAGGGTTGTACAGAATCTAGAAGAGTCAATCAGCACTGGTTCAGTACCGTGGTGAACGTTCAGTTTAGTACAATACCTTTAGGAGCTCGTAAAAAGGTCGGATTTGAATAATACTGCTCATTGGAGTTTAGAAGATATGCATAATGTTGCTTTGTCACCATCACTTGCGGTGTCATTGAATTCAATTGTTAAGGATGGACCCAATGGAAAAGGCTATGTGAATGCTGATTTTGTTGAGCATGCTTCAAGTGAAGTAGAATGCGTACAATCCAACAATGGGCCTTATTTAAAAGCATTTTTGGTTTGATTCTGCTTTGGGGTGTGTTACAATCCAATTTGGTAAATTATAAAATTATTATGATTTTTTGGAAATTTGAGATAATTCTACAAGAGTAGTGCTTGAATTCAATGGAAGATGTGGAGTATTGTGTTTTGTTGAAAAAATTAATTTTCTGATTATTGTTGAAGAAGTCAATTCATTTCTTTGTGGAATTCGTGTCAAGGTAGAGAATGTTTGAATTTGGGTGTGACCCGAATTCCTTTGTTGAAGTGTTTGAAGTATTGAAAAATTCTAATTGAAGTACTTGTCAAGGAGAATTCAAGTTTAGAATGTTACTGGAGTCCTATGTCAAGTTGAAATTTGATTTTGGAAGTTCATGGAGAAAACAATTTGAGAAAAAATTTGGCCAGAACACTCGGTGTCGCGGCGCCGGGCATGGACCGGCGCCACAGCGCCCACCTGTTCTATTATGTTCCGTTTTGTGCGTTTTCTTCTCCTACTTCGTTTTGGACCCTTTTTCTAGCATCCTGCTTCATCAACAACTCTACTAAGAAGGGTTTGGACATCCCCTATATGTTTCCTACAAATATTAGGTTCTTCTATACAAGAGTAGTGCTTGAATTCTACAAGAGTAGTGCTTGAATTCAATGGAAGATGTGGAGTATTGTGTTTTGTTGAAAAAATTAATTTTCTGATTATTGTTGAAGAAGTCAATTCATTTCTTTGTGGAATTCGTGTCAAGGTAGAGAATGTTTGAATTTGGGTGTGACCCGAATTCCTTTGTTGAAGTGTTTGAAGTATTGAAAAATTCTAATTGAAGTACTTGTCAAGGAGAATTCAAGTTTAGAATGTTACTGGAGTCCTATGTCAAGTTGAAATTTGATTTTGGAAGTTCATGGAGAAAACAATTTGAGAAAAAATTTGGCCAGAACACTCGGTGTCGCGGCGCCGGGCATGGACCGGCGCCACAGCGCCCACCTGTTCTATTATGTTCCGTTTTGTGCGTTTTCTTCTCCTACTTCGTTTTGGACCCTTTTTCTAGCATCCTACTTCATCAACAACTCTACTAAGAAGGGTTTGGACGTCCCCTATATGTTTCCTACAAATATTAGGTTCTTCTATACAATTTTATAGTGTGAGAAAATAGATTACTAAAATTTTAGGATCAATTGTAATTTTCTCTTTTTTTCATTATTTTTGAATCAATAAAATCTCTTAATTCCTTTGCTATAGTTCTTGTCTTTATTATTCTTTTACTTGATCAAATACTTTATTATTGTGTCAATTTAGTTGTTGATTTCACAAGAGTTCTTGTGTTCTTATGATCTTTATTTTATATTGTAGCTTAATCTCTTATTTTTTCCAAAAATTTGCTATTGGATTAATCAGATATCATTTGCTTTTCACAACACTAGTTTTCATAAATCAAACGTCGTTACCAAAATTTCATACCAAAGTTCAGAAAAATTGTGACGAGTAAATGGAGGTGAAAGGACTGTCAAAAATGAAAACCATCTCTGTCCACGGAAGACAACGACAGGCTTACATTAAAGGCAAATGATTCCTTGAATCTTGCATAGGAAGCATTAGATTGATAAGGCTAGTACTGAATTAGATTGATGGTGTTCCAGCATCTGAAGTAATGAAAAAAATTCAGAAAATGCAATAAGGATTAACAATAATAGTAATTACCAATAATAAATACTTGATTTGTCCAACAGACATGATTACGATCATAAAAAATATATGGAAGAGCAGAAAAGAATAGGAAAGATCTTAGTTTATATCATTAACGGTGTAAAAAAGATGAACAGGCAACAGCAGCATATTAACTCTGTTTTGAAAAATCAAAGGGCTGAGAATTTCTGCATAGGTGCTTCTTCTTTTTTTTTTTTTTTATATACAGATTTAAAAAAAAAAAAACAAAATAGAAGTCTATAGCTCACACCTATTGAATTTTATATCCAAAAGAAACTTGAAATCTCTGAAAATGCTTGTTATATAAGTCTTCAGCCGGCAGAGGCTGCTGGTTCTGGTGCCAATTAGCACTCAGTGAAGTTTCTGGTTTCATTTGCCTGTACATGTCTTGATCATTTTGATGCTGAACAGTATTTCCTTGTAAAAATGGACCTTGGTTATAATCTGTCAGCCTGATAGTTTCTTGAATACTGGCTTCTTTCTCATATTTTCCACAATCTGCAGGTTCCCATGGAAAGTCATTGTACTCAAAGGTGCTGCAGTTACTTGGTAGTCTAGCACTGCCACTGTTGCTTACTGTGCAAGCATCCCATTTCTGAACCTTGTGGACACTGAGAAGGCCTATGGAATTATCCAATGGAAGGCTCATGGAAGGAGGCAAAGTAGTTGTCATAGAAGAACAGAACTCCGGTACTATCTCTGAACACTTGGAGTTCGAATCGAAGACTAAATTTCCATCAGGGATCATCAACGACCCGGTCTTGGGACCACAATTTAGGTGCTGGAAACTGGCAGTGACATTTTCATTGCTAATTAGAAACCTGTTTAGGGAAAATTTGTGGGTAGGCGTCGGTGCTGCCATATTATTGCAATTGTCTATAGAAACTGAAGAGGGCTCTGCATTCTCTTCTGCAATTCCCTGATCATCACTGGATCCTTTCAACATTTTCTCATCATTTTTGGTGGTTACAGATGCCTTCTGTTCATTTTCAATCTCAGTCAGATGTTTGTGAGTGATAGGATCAATCCCTCTTAGCCTTAGTTTTTTCTTGATGGATGAGTTCCAGAGGTTCTTTACTTCATTGTCCGTTCTTCCAGGTAACTGAGCAGCAATTTGAGACCACCTAATGGCAGAAAATACCATCCTCAATATCATTAACAGCATGAAATGAAAAAGGAAATTAAAAAAACCTCAGATTAATAAAAATTAAAGCACCTATTGCCAAGAACTGCATGAAGTTCAATTATTAGTTTTTCTTCATCCTCTGAGAAAGTCCCTCTTTTCAAATCAGGCCTTAAGTAATTAATCCACCTCAATCTGCAGCTCTTGCCGCAACGTTGTAGCCCTTGAAGACAGTATTTAAGGTGAGAAAAACACAAAGGGATCTTAGCATTTATTGTACATTAATCTGATAATATACATGAGAATGATTGAGGAATTTATGCTAGCTAAATTACCTGAAAGTTTTGGGACTGAACTCCAGCAGCCATGTCCATACTTGGTTATGTGGTTTATAAGTTTCTCATCTTCCTCTGGAGACCACAGCCCCTTTCTTAACTTCTGCTTGTAACAGCAAGAATGCCTACCCATGTGCACTGCAGCTAGCCTGTAATGCTGTTCTAGAATGTCTTTTTCTCACAATTGCTCCTTGAGATGCTGCGGAACCGTGCAAAATTAAAATTTCAAGTCCAAGCCACACCTATGATGCAAGGAATAAAGACTTACATCTGTGTATCAGAAAATTGAGAAAGAGGGAGAGATTACAATAGAAAATGAAATTAACAAGAGCTTTTAAAAAGCAGCATACATTATAGAATGTAATTTTAATCTTGATTTTTTAAAAATGTGATTGGAGCAAGTGACTGTATAAGTACTTATCAGAAGTTTTTGAGAAAATAAAGAAGTTGACAGCAGTTGTGGGGCTAATGACAGATATTTATTTAGTGCAAAACAGGAGTTTTAGAGAAGAAACAAGTTTTGAAAGTCATTTGTGAAAGGAATAAAATCATTAAAGAAATATGTCCACATATAATAAGCAAATTTTGATGTTCAGTTAATGAGATTAAGACTTTTGTGTTTTTATCAAGTTTCAAGCAAACACATATGGAGCAATTGATGCCAAGATCCCAAGAAAAAGGAGTAACAGAATTTGATTAATTATTTATAACAAAATCAACTCACAGTTTTAGACAAACTCTTTATTTTCCTGTTCAATACGCGATCGGTAACATTATCAAGGCATGGAGGGTCTTATCACAAAAAGGGTCGTGGTGATCAAGCCTGGATTAGCATTCACATCTGATGCAGGGAAAAATTATAGAAAAGACAAAAATTCACACAAAAAAAATTTCAACGAAAAGAAATTCAAGAAAACTTTATTTAATTCAAAACTAGGTTGCCTCAAAAGGCTTACCCTAAAAAAATTCGAAAAAATTGCATAATAATGAGAAAATATTATTTTTTTCAAAAATGAAAAAAATTGAGATAATGATAGCTCTTGATTCTTCTAATCACGAGGATCATCCCCCAACAAACGAAAATCAAATCCGAGTTTATTTGACTAAGATATTGTCATAACAAAATTATCATAAACGGCAAAAACGCTTAATTGAAAGTCTAAACGACGGAATCTTTCCAAAATCCGACGTGCTTCAGGGCCAAAGGTCCTGAGTTGTGATCATTGACCCGTTTTCAATCTAATTAGACTACCAATTCCCAAAAAACGAACAAACTCGAAATTAAATAGAATTATTATTTTGCCTTCATCTACATCTTAGCAAAGTCATAACATCATGTATCAAGGTTGATGTCTACAAGTCCGAAAGGTCGAAAAAGTTGATGACCTGATAAGAGATGAAGAGGCGAGCTAGCTATCAATGTTTCTCTCTTACCATAATTTATTTAGTTAACTTTTATGTCACGTGATTTTGGTTGTTACATGAATTTTATCTTCTTTTGGCTGTATCAATTATCTTTATTACCTCACAGACAATAGTTTCAAGAGTAAAGTCGTATATTGAATTAATTTCTGTAATTAAAATAATATTTAAATTTACTTTTTTCAATTGGCGTAACTTGTGCAACAATATCATTGACAAAAAATAGTATCTTCCATTTTGACTAAAAACATTGAGAATTCTATCAACTACCCAATTGTTTAGTTTAATTATATAAAATGAAATGGTTTTTAGGGTGTGTTTGGTTGGGATTTTTTTGGAGTTCAAAAGCATTTCTAGAAGGCCAAAAGCACTTCTACTTAAAATTGCAACTGTTTGAATGTGAACAAAGAAGTGCTTATTGGCCAAAAGATCTTTTTAAAATTATTTTTTGCTTTTGCTTTTCTTTTGTTTTTTCTTCGAAGAGTTTTTGTTTGAGACTACCTTAATTTTTGTTCAAAAATTAATATTTAAATGTAATTCATATTCCAAAAGTGTTTTTAGAGGAAGTCTCGTTGGATCAGATTCTTTCAAAAACTCTTCTAACTAGGAGAAACACTTTCATAAAATTAGTCAAACAAGTTCAAAAGTAACTTTCGATCTGCTTTATGGCTAGTTTGGCATTGCTTTTTGAAAAGTCAAAAGAAGTTTTTTTTCCAAAAGTGTTTTTAGAGAAAGTCTCGTCGGATCATATTCTTTCAAAAACTCTTCTAATTAGAAGAAAGACTTTCATAAAATTAGTCAAACAAGTTCAAAAGTAACTTTCGATCTGCTTTATGGCCAATTTGGCATTGCTTTTTAAAAAGTCAAAAGAAGATTTTTTCAAAAGTGCTATTAGAGGAAGTCTCGTCGGACCAGATTCTTTCAAAAACTCTTCTAATTATAGTCAAACAAGTTAAAAAGTAACTTTCGAATCTCAAAAACTTCTTTTCACTTTTAAAAAAGCAATGCCAAACTGGCCATAAAGCGGATCGAATTTGGAGCTTTTCCTAAAAGTTTTAGTAAATTCGTTGAAATCTAATTATATATAGTAATTTATCAAATACATCTAATTTTTTATTGGATGGCTAATTACATTTATTTTTTCTTCATTTTTCTGTATTAGTTTTTATCTGTTAATGCGGGATAATATACTCTAGGCATGAAATTCAAAATGATTCAAGAAACTATGAAACTTCATATTTTCTTATGATATTTCATATATTAACATATCATATTTTAATGTCGTCACCAAATAAATTTTAAATAATATTATTTATACTAAAAATATTGTGATGTGATGATTTAATTAAAATATTTATTTTTTTCATAATTTATAATAAAAAAAATATTTAGGCAAATAATTATGCAGTATATAAAATTAATAAATTAAAAGGATTTTCCACTTATTTTGCCAAACAGTTATTCCAATATTTGGCACTTTTCGTTGACAACCAAATAGTCTAAACTATTTACAACTCTTTTTGAAAATAAGCAAGTTTTAATGTTTCATTTAATGAGATTTAAGACTTTTGTGTCTTTATTGAGCTTCAAGCCAACACCTCATATGGAGTAATTGATGCCAAGATTCCAAATAAAGGAGTAACAAAATTTAAAATTAATTTATAATAACAAAATCGACTCATAATTTTAGACAAACTCTCGGTTTTCCTATTCAATATATATCCATATAACTGTACTATTCAATTATTTAAAAGCGTACGTGACACCTCTTTCTAATGAACTCATGAAATAACCATGTAACATTGGGAGAAGGGGTGTGTCATCATAAGAGTGGTCATGGAGACATGGACCCATGGTGATCATTGTAAAATAAAGTGACCGCGAAAAGAATGTCATTTTATTTAAGTTAAAGCAAAAAAAATTTAGGAAATGTTTGATTTTATATATCAATATTAAGATCAAATTGTACCTCGTTAGGAACTATTTCAAGAAAGAGATATTTGATCAAACCGTCGAAGGGCAAGCTAGGTTGGATTGTTTTTATGGACCAATCGAAATCGGCATTTTCATTTTCTCCGAAAAAATCCCATGTTCTAAAAAAAGAAACAGCCCAGATCAGTAAAAACAATTTGTGTCGATTTACTAGGTTAAAAGCCCATAGTAGCGAATCAAACAACTTGGGATCTCAGGCAAAATTACCAGGTATTTTTTGAGAATAATAATAATAACTAATCAAGCAAACAATAACGGATGAAAAATCAACTGATAATTGCCAACGACTTTATAGTTAGAGATTTTGATAGATATCAATATGTCAATAATTATGACATAATTATTGAAAGCGAATAGTCGATGATTATTGACACAACTTTGTAGGTGACTATTGTCGATAACGTTATGCGGTGATGTCAGGAACAACAAATAGTGCTTCAATTGTTTGAACTGCCTTTAGCATTGGCGAATTTT